CCCAACCGTGCTTTTTCTTCCCAGGATTTTCCACTGTTTGTTTGTTGTCGGCATTTAGAGAGGAGGGTGATTATCTTTAAGCTGGAGCAGGGAAGTGGCTGTTAGTGGTCTGTTTACTTGTAATGGCCGTGTATGTGCATGTGTAGTTTCCAAGCCGTCATTACAAATTCCTCATGGGATTTGTTTTTTTGTGTGTCAGTGTGTGTTTTTTTCTTTTTTATGCCCTTCTTACAAAATATTTTTCTTTCAGCTGCTGAGCCTGAGAGTGATATTTACATGCGCTTCATGAAATCCCACAAGTGCTACGACATTGTTCCCACAAGCTCCAAGCTGGTCGTGTTTGACACGGCACTCCAAGTTAGTACTTCTTTTTTTTGTACTCCCAGCTCCCAATGCGTGCTATAAGTGCTGTAAATACTGTTTTTGTTTCCACTGTTTTGAAGTTTTGTCTTGAGGGCCAAACAGACTCCAAGCTTTAGTTAATGTGCAACAAACGGATGCAAGGAGTTTAACTCAGAGCAATTTCTCTTAACGAAGCAGTTAAACAGTAATCCAAGGAGAGTGGGACCTCCTTTGATTTGCCAATCTTTAACTATCAAGAGTTGAGTTGACATTGTTTATCTAAAGGGGGTGGAAGACCAATTGAAATTCATAAAAAATGTGTTTTTGTCCTTAATTTTTTATCTTTTTTTTATATATGTTTTACCTTTTTCGCTGAATTTTCCTCGCGATGCACCGCTGGCTACAGCATATGGTTACAGAAATTTACTTTAGACGAATGAACAGTTGATCATGTGGTGTTTAATAACAGATCTAATTCAGCGTAGACGAGTTTCAATTAAATTAGCATTTTTGCCAGTTGTTACCTTTTTATATCAATGTTATATCCTCTCTCTGTAGTTGGGGGAGCATTGAAGTCTGGTCTCCTGCAGTCAGGCTATAGCTTTGTGACCCTAAGATCAAGCCTGGGTTATGTAGCAGAGCTGTGATCTGAAGCACACCAACAGGTCCACGTCTGCATGGCTCGATTTAAGGTTTTAAAATGGCTCAGTTTAAGTCTGGCCCTAAACCCAGTTTCTGTTGGCTGCTAAAGGTGGAGAAACCAGTGCATGTTTTTCATTACCAAAACAGCAACAGTACAAAAGAGACCAAATGATCAGCATGTGCATCATTCATATTTATTTAGATTATGTAATGTTCATAATTTCTCTGCAGGTTAAAAAGGCGTTCTTCGCCTTAGTGGCCAATGGTGTGCGAGCTGCTCCTCTATGGGACACGGAGAAGCAAAGCTTTGTGGGTAAGAACAATTAATCTGATTAATTGTAATTAATCGATCTTTGAAAAAATTTACTAGTTTAGTAATCGATTAATTATTAACTGGAGTATAGAGACTGTAAATCGTGCCTTTAGGTGACAGAGCAACCAACTTAGACCAGTAATTATACCAACATTGTAAAAAAATATGTAAATATTTTGCATTTAACCTCTCAAAACACAATATTTCATTTACCAATATAGACATGTTAGACATCGCTGGAAAGCTTAGGTTCTCCACAATTCAACCACCTAGTTAATTTTATAGACACAGTGAGCACCAAAGCAAGATTAACACAGCTATAGCAGCATGTCAAAGGCTACGTTCACACTGCAGCCTGAAGTGATCCAAATCCGATTTTTTTGCCCATATGAGACCTGGATCTGATCTTTTCATAGCTGTCTGAACAACACAGATCCAATTTTTTTCCCAATGCGTTCCAGGCCACTTGGCTATGTGGTTCTAAATCCAATACGAATCTGATCTTTTCAAATGCAATCTGCGTCTGAACAGCCAGGTCGCATTCATCCGACCTGGCCGCCATTAATACCCGACAAAGGTCACTATTCTGGGTCTTGCTATGAAGAAGTGGCAAGAAAAACAAACAACCATGGCAGACGATGATGCAGAGAGCAGTATTTATGTTTAACCATCCTGAAAAAATGTTGTTTTTTGGTTGGGAAGATCGCTAGATGCGCTCCGACACTACCATCCATGTTTACTTCCGTAAACGCAGAGCACGCTGGCCTGTGATGTAACTGCCTTCTCTACTGCGCATGTGGGACACTTGCATTGTATGACTGCAGTTCACACAGGAGATCACATACAAGTCGCATATATTTGGAAATATGAACGGCAATGCAAAAAAAATAATCGGATTTCACAAAAAAGCATCAAGGCCTGCAATGTGAACGTTGCCAAAATGTACCATGACAAAGCAGCCACAACGAGCAAGCAAGTCTTTATAACTTCTGTTAAATAAAGAGAATAAAAAAAAAAAAACAACTTTGAGTGTTCTTTGCACTGATGCAGCTTGGGTGTTTTACTCACCCAATTTTCATATATATATATATATATATA